ATATTCATAGAACCTTCCAAATATGCATTATAATCATAGTTGATATTACAAAACATAAATGTTTTGGACAATGACTTGATGTTAGATTTTAGCAAAAAGGGATTGCTTTTTAAAAGTATATGCTGTATATCTGGGGATGCTTTAATAAAAGTAAACAAAAATAACTGAAATTTGAAAGCGAATTTCTTTGAGTGATCTTGAATGAAGTGAGACTGAAGATTAGATACATCGCCTAAACCAAATTGCCATTTCCATTTCAACTTATAAACCCTCCTATCCATTTAATTCCACTAAATGTCCATGGTTGCACAGGATGCCACACAAGTCTGCCGCACACTTGCTACGTAGATCAATTGATCTATCATTTTACTATACACTTAAATTTAAAACCAAGCTAACATCAACTACACTCCGGGCTGGAGGAGGTCAGGTCCTCCACAAACAATACCAAGTGGCCTCGGTACTGGTAGGGCAGACATAGCACGAGCTGCCATGTGAGATATCATAGGTTGAAGGTGGTAGGTTCAAGGTTGTAGGTTGTAGGAAGTAGATTGTAGGTCAGGTTACGTATCTTTGGTTAGGTGTTTTGATTTGGTTAGCAAAATGCATTCTGGGGCATATGGCAGCTCGTGCTACGTCTGCTACCGTGGCATCTCATTTTTCCTATTCAGCTTTTGCTAAGGTAAAATAATGCAAGATGCCTGTCACATGGGGATAATATAAAGAACTATGGAGTACCTATGTAGACTCGAATGAAAATATATAATGAAATGTTTCTTTTATTTGGTCATGTTCACTCAATACTTTTGCCACATTCACCTCATTCTCAATTGCAATTGCAATTTTGTTCCCACATTCATGCCACGATTTCATGAAGGCAGATTTCATAAAGTACTTGAAATGCCTATCACAAGCATGAAGAAATACTCACTTGAACATCATAGGTCCTTTTCTTCATGCTGGCCTCAACAGAAGCCACAATGTATTTGCCATCCTGCAGGGCAATGGATCGGATTTTGCCACCATCCAATGCTCTTTCACCCTTCTCAATCACACTGGACATAGTTTGAAAAAAATCACCTATGGCTGCAACACTAACGAAGGCCATGATAGCTCACACCATGCCCAAACACGTCAAACACAGCCTGCAGCCCAGAAACGTGCAAATGTCCGTAACGTACTATTGTTTTCACGTGGTTTTCACCAAATGTCACATATGCGCCACAAATGCTAACACCATTGTGAATTTAGTAGCCTCACATTTCTTTGGGCTTTTTCAGCCAAATTTCGATGAAACTTGAAGCAAATCAATTTCAGAAATGTTATTCATCCATCTAAGTTTCCAAAGAAATTCCAAATCAGGGTCGGACAATTTTTGAATCGCCACAATACACCTTTCTAGATAATCCCCTATCTCTACAGCATTAGCGCAGTCAGCTGTTGGAACCGTGACGTCACACTTAACAGCCCTATTGGGCCCCCGCCCCTATGACCCATCCGGGCCAACCTGGGTACCGGTCCCAATTCAAAGGGACCGGTCGGCCGCCCGGGCGGGCGGGGCGCCGGCCTGTCGAGTGTCGGGTCGGGTCGGCGCTCCCCTCGCCCGGGCGGTGGTTAGGGGGCACCCCCGGGAAAAATGATTTTCCGGGGGTGCGGGCGGGGGCCCGCGGCCCGTGATTCGTTACGCCAACGAACAATCGAAACGGAAGGAGTGGCGCCCGCTCACTGTCTTCGACAATCGAGTTTACTATGTTGTGCATGCTGTGTGTCCTGCTATGCATATGCTGACGATCTCAACCCCGGCCAGAAATAAGCGGTATTGCTGCACGCTGTTGCAGTTTGTGTCTGCGATTTGTGTTTGGTAATTGTTGTCTGTGCAATAAGCTGTGAAGTGTGCCGTGTCCAATAAACTTCAGCGAATATGAAAAAAAAGAAAAAAATAATAATTATTCTCCCTCGTTTTTTAATTACAGTGGCCGAAATCCAACGAGGAACGCAGATTTGGGGATATAGGTGGGTATTGGCGACCAGGCTCAAGCAAAGGTTTGTGGCGACGCCCTGGAAAAGTGTCCCTAGAAGTTCTGAAACCGTGGTGACGCCGCTGGGGCCATCGAATACGTTTTCAGCAATTCTACCGTCTTTTATTTACGAATTATAGGGGAGAGTGCGGTAAGACGGCCCCCTTTAGGGAAAATGCAATATAATTGCATCCACCATTGAGATATGTGTGCATTAGAATAGGCCAACTATTTCTCCCTCTTTACGAGCGGGAAATTGTGCATTGTCACCTACGTAAGTGAGCGACACAGATGTTTGAAAAAAGTCTTGCAAAAGGCTGTCTTACCCCACGTGGTGGGTAAGACGCTCGGGGACAGTAGCGGCGGAACACCTTCAATTAAGCCGACTTTCTGCCGACTTTCGGTCCGATTCTTTCCATGCAACGCCCATAGGGCTAATGTTAAAATGCCAAAATTAAAGGGGGCACGGTGCCCCGGTGCCCTCCCCATTCCGCCGCCTATGCTCGGGGAGAGTCGTCTTACTTTATACTTACCTTATATACTTACTTATACTTACCTTACTTACATTATACCATAGACCACTATAGTGATCTATGCTTATACTTATCTTATAGCCGGAGTCGGAGCCACCGAAGATCCATCAACTTCGCAGCCATTCAAGGTCTGCCGAGTCTGAGTTGGAGTTGGAGTAGATCGGAGTCGACAGTCGGAGCCCGGAGTTAGAGTCGAAGTTGTTTTTTTTTTAACCGGAGTCGGGGTCAGAATTGGAGGCGTCGAAAAAGCATAGACTCCGCAGCCCTGACGCAGACATTGAATTTTGCGGGGGGGGGGGGGGAGCGTCTTACCCTCAACGAGAACTACGAGAACTCAACTACAACTCAACTCGTATAACCAAATGTCTTTGAGCTTCTTTTTTCCAAGCGATTCAATCATGAGGCGCAAACTCGTTGCAACACGTAAAGCGCCTCTATGAGGTATGGACAAAATGCACCTGCAACATAATTTAAAGACCCTCACAGAGTTATCAGATGGAAAATGATCAGACAAAAATTTATATCAAAACATGTCAAAACATAACAGTGCTCACCGCCTGCAAACGCCAAACGACACAACCACGGAACCGAAAATCTTGCCCTCACAAACAAAACGCAGAAACAAACATGGCAAGAACTTACAAATATAATATGGCCAAACACGCCCCTCTACCATTATCATGGTGAGGTTCGCTGAGACCCCCACCAGGGCGCGGGATATGAACCTGCAGCTCATGTCGGGTCGCCTTTTCCAATAAGTGTCATTTGGCCGCAAAAGGGCTCTATATGAACCGGGTCCCGAGATCACGTGTCACGTGCGTCTCCGGAGCTGCTGAGAGATGCGATCTGCATCCTGCAGTAAAATGCCCATTTCCCTCCAAGTAAATAAGACATCGTAAACTATCTACTGTTTTAGCCGGTCGTCCCGCCTCCCCTGGCCATCATTCTGCATATCAATATGTAATTACGCACGGCGGCTGTCTCCGTACGATGTTGCTGTGTCGTCCAGTGGGCCCGCCCTCTCTCGCCGACACCCCCGGACCGGTCACCGCGTGACGCTGCCGACGCACCCGGTGCGCGTGACCTCAGAGTGTGCGCCCAGTGACGCGCCGTGACGGTGCTGAGTAACGCGCTGTGACGGCGGCGATAGGCGCGTGCCGTGCAGCGCGCAGCGGTATCGGACGGCTGACCTCTGACCGAGGGCCCTCACCGACACCGGCCTGCGCCATCAGACGCGGATAGCGCCGGCCGATCACTGAGCACCGGCCGCTGATACAGAGCCGAACACACTGATCAGGTGCTGGGCGGTACGCAGTGGGTCGGACCGCCGAGGCAACAGCGGCACAGGCCTATCAACCCTGAATAAACACTTCACGATTGGAGCTCTGACGTCACTTTTTAAGGTCGTTTGAGCTGGGTCTATTTGAGCTGTTTCGTAAGATTTGTTTATTCGACATCAACTGTTTTGTTGGATGTTACGAACGCAATTTTCCTTCTTCCCTCCATCTTCAACCATCGTCATTCTTTTGACGATGGTTTGCAATTGAAACGCTCGGTTGGGAGCAAGTCAGTTGAGGGCTCCATTGTGACACCAGACGAAAAACGGCATAGCCTGTCCCTTCCAACAGATCCATATTCCGCAACGCCGCCGCGGCCAGTTCCTTCTAGCTTGCAACGAACTCACTTATGATGGACTGCCAGGTGGCACAGCACGTGATCAACTGTCAGCTTGGTCGCTGCGTGGGCGCACCACGCAGCGCCGCGGCCACTGCGTGAAGACAGGGCCCAGAAGCACAGCTGCCACATAGCTGGGCGGCATGGAGGCTGCGGCTCCCGGCTGTTAATAGCCGTTTTCACAACGGGCTGTCCGACGAGTGCACCTAATTTGACCAAACCTGCACCTAATCTCTTTTACAGCAAATATCTTTATGTTATGAATTTATTTCAGTGTTTTAACCGATGATGCTCTCTGATAATATGACAAAGCAGGCATAAAAGCAATTAGTACCTACAACCCTAGCTGATAGCTACTAAGAGACACACTGAACCTAATTTGACCAAATCTGCACCTAATCTGCACCAGATGTGAACCAAATGTGTACCAGATGGCCGTCGTGAAAACGGCTTATATGACCTCATTAAATATATGGTTTTTGAACCGTTATCGGAGTTTTGATATAAATACCGATTTCAATAAGATAAATCGAAAGCGTGGGATATGGCTCGCTAGTATTACGTGCGCTCCTCTCCCAGTTGAGAACCGTCCCCAGGTGAGGTAAGAACCGTCCCAAAGGGCACCTCTCCCCAGGTGAGACCGTCCCCAGGGAGCACCTCTCCCCAGGTGAGACCGTCCCCGGCGGCGCGGTGCGGGTGGCCGCCCGCTCGGCCAATCACAGCGCGTGCTCGCCGGGTGGCGGTGGCGCTCGGGCGACCCGCGCCGACCCGCCGCAGTTGCGACGCACACCTCCTCGGAGAGACCACACAGGCGTCCGCCGACCGACCGATACAGCCGACCCGAGCTCCGGCCACCGTGTGACGCGAGGTCGCGCCCGTGAGCCGGCTCTGTGGTGGTGGTAGGCGGTGACCGGTCGGGCTGCGGTCCGTGTGCCGCAGTGTGTGCGCTGGTCGGAGTGACGGCTGGCGGAGTTTGCGTTGTCTGGTGCCGAGTGGGCGCCGGTCTGGATTCGGACCGGGTCAGCGGGTATGTCGGCGCCGCGCGCCTGACCCGGCGGCCGGCCATGTGTGTGCGGCGCGGCGCGGGCGGCTGGCGGCCGCAGCTGGCCGCCCTGCTGCTGACCTGGCTGCTGGTCACCGACAGCACGAGTCGAGCGTGCGCGCCCGGCCGCGGGCACTACCGGCGCCGCGCGCCGCGCAAAGTCACACCGCTCGTGTATAAACAGTACGTACCGAACGTCAGTGAACAGACTCTGGGCGCGTCCGGCCTGCCCGAGGGCGCCATCGCACAGCACGACCCGCGCTTCCGGGGCCTGGTGCCCAACTACAGCGAGGACATCCTCTTCAAGGACGAGGAGGGCACCGGCGCCGACCGGCTGATGTCACCGGTAAGTCACCCGTCTGTGCTGATGCGTGCTACACGTGTCACCCGTGTAGCATCTTGAACCCACGCCGCTCCGTGTCCGTGCCACCTGTGCTGTTCTCTGTCATCTGTGCCACTCGCGTGCTCCAGTGTCTCCCGGCCGCCCCCGGCGCTCGGTCCTCCCCGGTCTGTCTGTACCGCCGCTATCGGCGCCGGCCGTCGGTCCGCTATCGGCGCCGTGTCGGCCGTTCTCAGGTGCGCCGCGCGCCGACACTCTGTTTGTCCTCCGATACGGCCCCGCGCGGCGCGGCGCGCTCTGAACCGGCGCCGACCGACTCCGCAGACTGGTCGAACCCCCCAGAGTATATACTCACTGATTCAGCGGTCATACCCGGAGCAATGCGCTAGAATGTCCTGATGCGTGGACAGTCGATCGCAGAACGTTATCAGAAGCGCGTGATTCGGGCGAGACGTACCGTTTCATTGGAAAGAACAAAACATTATAATTTATTTTAGCCGCTTTATTAGCTAACAAAGGTTTTATCAGAGGGTTTTATCTACGGGAGAAATATATCTCGCCAGCTGTAAACGAGTTAACCCTCGCATGTGTAGGGGGGGGGGGGTCGGATGGACCCCCCCCCCCATGGTTTTTCGCGAATAACTCGCGTAAAAAGCGGCCGATCGCGACGAAACTTTCAGTACCCTCGCATTGATCAATTTTACACCTACCCTGAAAATTTCATGACCCTGACCCAAATGACCTTTGACCTGTGACCTCTTTTCCGAGACCATGTTTGGCCGGAATCGCGATTTCGCGTATGTCGGCTCGCACTAGCCGCGTGTTTGCAAGCTTTTCGTGGTTTCAAACGTTCAAACATGTGATTTGATGTTACTCCCGTGTGTGTCAAGGTCATCTGAAGGTCAGGTCAGGTCATTGACCTTTGGTGACCTCGGGTGACCTCGGGTCACTTTTTCGAGTTTTACATGTTTCTAGGCTAGTTTTTGGAGCTGAATTCGAATTTAGCAACCATTTGAACATTTACGAAGTAGTTTTGGTGACTTCGTAACATGTTACGAAGCTGTCAGAGGCGGTTGACACGTACTACGAATACCCGTCACGATGCCTACTGGTTGACCTGACCTGACCTGACCCGACCTGGTCTAAATGCTTCAAGACGTCATCTGTGATCAAAACTAACACGATATTCGTGATCAGCACCCCGAAAAACCCCTTAGCAGCCACACTTTACGACTTTCTAACAGGTCCCGATTTTCCCGACTTTGGGTCATTGACCTGACCTGGAAGGTCAACCAATGACCTAGGACCTTAAAATTGGGTATCATCGGCTTCCTCTCGTCACGGGCAACACGCTCGTTTTTTCCGCGAAGCTCTAGCTCGATCAGGGGCCAAACGGCAAGGGGGGGGGGTCCAACCGACCCCCCCCCCCCCCTACACATTAGAAGCTGGCAAACGCCGCACACATGCGAGGGTTAACTTTCAAGTCATTTTGCGGTTCAAAGTAAGTAATTTTACAGCTTTCCTCAGCCGTTTTGCCGTGCTCTAAATATGCCGAGCTGCACGGCATTGCCGCATGTCTCGTCAGCCGTGTGTCGTTGAAGACGCTCCCCGGAAGGGTCGCTTGGCCCGCCGGTCCGCGGCGCCTCGAGTCCCTGCCCGTCACCTGCGCACCTGCTCCCCGGTAACCGGACCCGGAGCGGAGCTGCGGCTCCGGCTCCCGGCCCGGCTCCGGTGTCGGACGCGCGCCGGCCGTGGGAACCGGGCCGCAGCCGCCGGACCCCGGCTAGAGCGGGCCACAGGCCACAGCTTCACCTCGCGCTCTCTGCCGGAGTGCAGTTTGGTTGTCATTGCTCTTCATTTATGATTCTGAGTGCGGTGTTGATTCGAACGTGTGTGCGATCAGTTGGCGACCAAACGGAATGTTATAGTCATTTTTGCCAAGTTTCATTGCCCCAACATATTTTTTCGATTCCGTTCATGAATGATCAAATCAGGCGTGAAAGGAACCGATGCAGTAGCCGGCCGGTTGAGGAAGACGTCTTATAACCGTTCAACATCCTGAAGATCGTTTGATCGTCTAAATGAAGATCGTCTAAGCTAAGAGGTCGTAGTTGAGTTTGGCGCTGCCTTGTAGCGCTCATTGAGTAGAGCTGTGCCGATTCCAAGCATTCCTCGGCGCAGTGTTTGTGTACCGAGTGACGAGTCGCCCCCGCTGAACCCATTGGCAGGTAGCCGGCGCCCCTCGCCTTGAGTGGGCCATCATGGGCTCCGTTTGCCAACTACTTACCGCCTGTGTTGGGGCGCGGGGTGCCGCCACCGCCACAAAGGCGCTGTTTGCAGGCCGTCGGCCGACTTTGGCGGCAGTGTTCCGCTGGCCGGCGCGTGTTGACACCACTCACACACAGACTGCGGTCGGGGGCGCTCCCACTGACCGGACACGGGGCTGTGCGCTGGCCCAGTCCGTGGACCTGCTGGCCGGGCCACCCAGTCCGCCGGGGCTGTCCGCTGGCCCAGTCCGCCGGGGCTGCCAGGGGGGGGGGGGGGGGGGGGCACTCTGCCGGGGCTGCCGGGGGGCCGCTCTGCCGGGGCTGCCAGCCGTGCCTGACCACTGCAGCGCTCGGCAGGCATGCCGGGGCTTCGGTCTGCTGCGTGCCTCTGCTCAGCGAAAATGTGACGTCACAACCATACCAATTCTTTCTCTTTTCATAAGACAGTACATATTTCTTATGAAATTTAAGGTATCGTTAAAATGGGAACATAACCCCTCGGTTTCCATTGCCATCTAAAAAATTAAAACCATTTAACCCTACCATTTGTTACTTGTGAAGCTAAAATACCTTAAGTGGGGATGACAAATAGGCTTTGAGACTTTCGAAGCTCAATCGGTACTTGGTTTTTCTTTCGGCCCTCAACCGTTCCATATTTTTTTTCCCGATATAGGTTTGTGCTTATTTTAAAATTGCGATAAATGATGCGACTTAAAGAGTACATTTCAAATATTGTGCACACATAACGCAAGACAGCGCAACATAGCGAATGTTGTGACTAAAGATGTATGTTCTGCTTGAAAGGGAATTGATTTCTGGGTCGATTACATTAATAGCGCTAAAACATTAGGGTTTAAACGGTATGAAAACATCCAAAGCCTCCTTGGCATTGCCACCGCAGCTGACGTGCAAATGGTTGAACGATGGTGCAAGTGATAAAGTCACTATTAGGGTTGCACAAGTCAAGTAGGTAAGCATTGAACATGGGGCACCGGGCAGAGAGGAGGGGCGCTAAACCGGAGACACTAGGGGTAGGTACCTATTTGCAGTAGTGTCACCAGAAATCAGAACAGCATCACGCTTCACGCCACTTGAAGGTGGATATGACGCAGTCGATGATACGGAGCAGGAGGGAGACTGTTTGCAGGTATTACAGGGAAAGGAATCACAGTTTCAAAGGATTTACAGATCAAGGAGTGCGATTGTTTCACTGTATGATTGGAGCTCTAGGAGCACCAAAGGCTATCGTAATTGCGCCGTGGCTGGGTCATATCAGCAACCTCTGTGCTGTGTCTTATACCTGGGACTCGGGAGGGGAGGAGTATGTACTGGGGACTGGGGAGGGGATGGGGGCTCTCGGTACCGATCTCGCGTATTCTGGGGACGCACAGTGGGCCAGGCGCTTCAAAAAAGCGGAATTAAATCATTGAGCACAGCTGCGGTGCCAAAAACGATTCGTTACAGGGTAAAATATCATGCTAAAGCCGAATCCGATGTCCATTTTCAAATTTGATTGGTTACGCTAGGTCACTGACCTATGACGTCATTATTTAATTTCTGCGCTGCACATATGCCTGGGACAGGCGGGCACTATGCCGCATTGGCCGCGCGTTTGCAGTCTTTTCGTGGTTTCAAGCGTTCAAACATGTGATATGATGTTGGTCCCATGCATTAGGGTGGGTGTAAAGGTCACCTGAAGGTCAGGTCAGGTCACTGACCTTCAATGACCTCGGTTCACATTTTCGAGTTTTACATGTTTCTGGGCTAGTTTTTGGAGCTGAATTCGAATTTAGGAACCATTTGAACATTTACGAAGTAGTTTTGGTGCCTTCGTAACATGTTACGAAGCTGTCAGAGGCGGGTTGACACCTACTACGAATACCCGGCAGGACCCATACTGGTTGACCTGACCTGAGCTGACCCGACCTGGCCTAAATGCATGAAGACATCATCTGTGATCAAAACTAACATGATATTCGTGATCAGCATCCCGAAAACCCCCTTAGCAGCCACACTATACGACGTTCTAACAGGTCCCGACTTTCGGCCATTGACCTGACCTCAGAGGTCACCATTTGACCTATGACCTTAAAACCGGGTACCGTTGGCTTCGTCTCGTGACGACCTACACGATGGTTTTTTTCCGCGAGGCTCTAGCTCAATTAGGGGCCAAACGCGAGGAGGGTCGCATCCCCCTGTGCCGTCGAGGGATGCAAAACGGCCTATGCCGGCGAGGGTTAAACCCTTATTTGTCCATTTCGCGCAAAAATGCGGAAAATATTTGCATTGGGCAGCAAGCTATACACCTTGAGGAAAGTCAGGCAGCAAATATCTTCGTGTTGTTCGGTGACGTTTTCTTTATATCCTTATATAAATTCATTGCGTCGTTGCACTACCACGGTTCCGAACAGGCACTGTAAACCCCACCGCTACTAGTAAGCATGAAATAGTTCCCGGGAACTTGACTACGAGAAACATGCGCAGAAATACCAGCTGTTTTTTTAAAGCTATTTTGTACGGAATAACTTCAATGATTTTACGCTGAGAGCTTTTGAATCGGGGGAACGTAATATGGTACACAGCAGTCATTTCCATCTCCAGTCGGTAAGTCCTACTTTGCGACGTTATAGCATTATCTGCCTTGACATTGGGGAAAGGAAACTTGCTTATTCGGAAACTTTGGACATTTTTACAATACTCTATCCCATAATTACAGGAATTTCACCGAAGTTGATTTTC